GTCTCAACGGGGGCTTGGCTTTGCATGAACGAGATGCGTACGGAAAGAACGGGACGAAGACCGATAGCCGCTCCTGTCCGTTTTGAGCAGGGCGGTGTCTTGTCAACAGGTCGCTTGCACAACAGCGGCCGCTGTCGGACTTGAGCAAAATCTGCTGTTGGGAATTTTGCAGTTTTCGTGTCGTGCCCAGTTCGGGAGAGCCGCACGTGGCGTGGACATCCTCGCATCGTCAACGCCAGCATCCTCCATCCCGCTTCCCCCCCTCCCGTATCCAGAGGAGGAAGAACATTCCGATGCCACTGCCCATCCCTCGCCGCCGCGGCTGGATTCGCCTCGATAGGCTGGTCAGAACGAATCCCTGGAGAGGTCCAACGAGCAGCCGTATCGATATCTTGCTGTCCCTCCACATCCATCGGCGGCGCGCCCAGGGGGACTTCTCAAGGAGGCAGGCCTTTTGAAAAGGCAGCAGGACTTCTCGGAAGCCCTCCGGCCTTTTGAGATGTCGTCTTCGGAGAAGGGCTTGGAAGGATCTCCGTGTCTACGGCGGTCAGAGGCCTCCCGAGCCTTCTGAAATGGTCCGCTCCCCTCTGCCTGTCCTCGGCGCCACGCCCACGTGCTAATGCTATGTCTGTCGCCCCCCAGGAGGAGGAGGAGGAGGAGGAGGAGGAGGAGGAGGAGGAGGAGGAGGAGGAGGAGGAGGAGGAGGAGGAGGAGGAGGGGGAGGAGGGACTCTCTCGCCGGAAAGTCTTCTAGCATGAGCCCCGTGGCGGGCGCTTCCTGGCCGCACTGCTCGGGCAAGCGATGTGCTGCAAGACGTCTGCACTGGGCGCGCGCCTCCTCCGAGGAGGACGCGCCGTCCCTGGGGCGCGCCGCCGGATCTCGCCTCCCTCCGCCCCTCCACCCTCCCGCTTGCCCCCCCTCTCTTCGGATGCAACTCCTGGGAGGTCCAAATCTGAGGCTGTCCTGGTCCCAAGTCTGCCCTGATCCAGCTCCGTCCCGCGGAATCCGGCCTCATCCCGCTCACAATCCCGCTTCATCCGAGGCCCACTCCGGCGCAACAGCCCCCCCAAATGGAGCGTAATCCTCCTCAGCCCTTCCGACGAAAGCCTCCCAGCAGTTGTTTCCTGACCTCTCTCTGGGCTGGCTCGGGGCCCCGCTCTGCGCAGGCCCCCCGTCGTGCCAGTCGTCGCCGCCGAGGGTCGTCATCGTCGTGCGTCGCCGTCCTCGTCCTCGTCGTCGGCGTCGTCATCGTCGACGTGCGTCGTCGTCGTCGTGCGTCGTCGAGGTTGTCGTCGCCGTCGTTGTCGCCGTCGTCTCCGTCGTCGTCGTCGTCGTCGTCGTTCGTCATCGAGGTTATCGTTTGAGTTATCGCCGTCGTTTTTCGTCGTCATCGTTCGTCTTCGTGGTTGTCGTCGTCGTGTTCGCCCGTCGTCATCGTCGTCGTCGTCGTCGTCCGTCCTGGTCGTCGTCGCCGCCGCCCGTCGTCGTCGTCGTCGTCATCGTCGTCGTCGTCGTCGTCGTCGTCCGCCGCGGTTTGGCAGCGTGGCCGGCGTTCGGCCGGCGACGGAAGTCGGCCGCGCCGTCCAGCAGAGATCGGCTTAGGCCTCGTGCGGCACGCGGGGTCGGGGGGTGCGCGGCGCGGGGCCCACGCCGAGGGGCACCGCCGCGACCGCGCTCGAGCGAGCTTCCACGCACCTGAGCGTCCAAGTGGCCCGCATCCTTATCGCCCATCCTTGCCACGAATTCTGGCTGTGCTGCTTACACCCTCGGGGGGGCATCTCCTGTCCTGTAAGTGGCAGTCTTCTCTTGCTCTCCGAGGTGGTCTCGGCGCGGATTCGATATGGATTCGGCATGGACCCGACGCGGATTCGACGCATTCGACATGGATGCGGCACGGATGGCTGGCACGATAAGACAGACGAGGTTTTCCAAAGATGCTAAAGACATCGGGGCGCTGCATTGGTGCATTTGTTTTGCACTGGCCGTTTTCGTCGAGTTTCGAGCCCCTGGGACCATCACAGATCTACCTGGCCTGAAAAATGCAGCAGAGAGATGCGGTCCAGGGCTCTGGCCGTGATTTTTATTAGATTTTCCCAAGTCTCCGGTGTGGAACAGAGCACAGAGCTTTCGCTTTGAACAGGTGATATTCGTTTTGAACAGAGCACAGTGGATTCCACCTCGCGCCCCACATGTTGCTTTTTCTGGGAGGGCGTGGCCTCGAAATCGGGTGATTTCTTGCATCATCGGGGGACAAATCTTGTCCTGTTAGTGGCAATCTTCCTTTGTACTCCGAGGTGGGGTCGACGCAGGTTCGATGTGGATTCGACTTGGATCCGACACGGATTCGACGCATTCGACATGGATTCGACATGGATGCGATTCGGATGGTTGGCGCAATGGGACAGACGAGGCCTTCCAAAGATGCAACAGAAATTGGGTCGTTGCATGTTTTCACACGGCGTGTTTCCGTGTAGCTCCGGGCCTCTGGGAACACAGATCCATAGAGAGAGAGATGGCGCCCGAGTCTGCGGTCGTGTGTTTTTTCACGAGGTTGGCTTTTGCGCGCGACGCTGGAGGAGAACGATGAGGAGGAGAAGGTGGAGGAGGAGAAGGAGGAGGCGGAGGAGAAGGACTCTGAGACTTTACGCTTCCTTGAGGGGTGGAAGGTCCCCAGGTGCTTGGGCATGGAACGAGCAGCCACCCTTGTGGGCCTGACGGCCCGCAGCGAGCTTCGGATCGCTCCTGCTTGGATCATGAAGTGCCCCATTGGGGGGTGTAGGATCCTAGGGCGACGAGATCTATGCATATCCACTGCTCCTGGCCAGGCCAATCCTGGGCCCGGGAGCGGTGTATACGCCCTCCTGGCCTGGCCAGGGAGGCATATACACAGCTCCTGGGCCCAGGATGGGCCTGGCCAGGAGCAGTGGATATGCATAGATCTCGTCGCCCTATAGGAGCACAGCGAGCCCAGGGTGGCGGGGGCGGGGGGCGGCCCACGCCCTTTGTCGGTGTACAGGTGGTCCAAGCGTCGGGCCTGGGGCCGCCCTCCTATCCGTTTCGAGGCCCGTGGTTACCGGAGGGACAGACAGCACCTGCTGGGCCTGTTTTCCACCACCACCACCATAAGTTGGACGGGGAGGAGGAGGAGGAGGAGGAGGAGGAGGAGGAGGAGGAGGAGGAGGAGGAGGAGAGGAGGAGGAGGAGGAGGAGGAGGAGGAGGAAGAGGACGAAGAGGAGGAGGAGGAGGAGGAGGAGGAGGAGGAGGAAGAGGAGGAGGAGGAGGACGAGGAGGAGGAGGAGGAGGAGGAGGACCCCCTCCCCCTCCAACTTATGATAGTGGTGGTGGAAAACAGGCCCATCAGTACCCATACCTCTATGCTTCCCTCGTTTTTCCATTTTTGGGACTCCTGGGAGGATCTCGTCGCCACCGCTGGATTCGCTTCGAAATTCTGGCCAGAGCGCACCCCCCAGGAGAGGTCCGGGGAGTAGCGGTATCGGCATCTTTTGGTTTCCCCATGTTAGTTGTGTTTTAACGGCCGCCTGGTTCTAGTGTTGCGGTGCTACTGGGATAGAAGGGTTCTGTTGGTATTATGCTGGTCCCGAGGGACACGGTAGGCGCACAGCTCCTGCATGGGGGTGCCCCAAGCTGAAGGACAGTACTGTACTGAAGGCTCGGCCCGTGGTCGGATGAGATTCGCCCCGCAACCTCTCGAGACCCCTGCTTGAGTTCGTACATTCTCTTTTCGAGGTCAGGCCTGCCATCTTTTCGTACGTTTGCAGAAGCCATGGAGGCCGGGCGCATTGGCTTGGCGCCCACTTCCTGTTTTTCCTGCTTCCGGGGCTGCTTCTAATGGCATTGCCCCTCACCAGTAGTCCCACTAGACCTGGCCCGGCACAGAAACGGAAAGAGCGCTTCAGAAACAGAAACCGAAATTACTCACACCACCGTTCGTACTGGGAGCCTTGGCGTTGAGAGCTTGTTACGTCACCCCTCGCTCTTGGGAGCCTTGGTGTTCAGAGATTGTTGCGTTGCCGCCCGTTTCTGAGCCTTGGCTGGGCCTTGGAGTTAGGAACTTGTTACGTCACCGCTCTCTGCTGGGAGCCTTGGTCTTATCAGCTTGTTTACGTCACCGTTCGCTCTTGGGAGCCTTGGTGTGAAGAGCTTTTTGCGTTACCGATCGCTCTCTCTTTGGCGTCTCTGGGCCTTCTTGGGAGTCCCATTGGGGCCCTTGTCGGGCCCTTTTGGAGGCCTCTTGGGAACCTCTTGGGGGCCTCTTGGGGCTTCTTGGGGGGCTCTGGTGGCCTCCTGGGAGCTTCTTGGGGCGAAAGGCTAGACTTTTCGGTTCGTGGTGCCCCTCTTGGGGCCGTCTTACAGCCCTCTTGGGCCGTCTTTGGCGCCTCTTGGGCCGTCTTGGCGCCCTCTTGGGCCGTTTTGGGGGCCTCTTGGGAGCCTCTTGGGCCGATCTTTGGGGCCTCTTGGGTCGTCTGGGGCCCTTCTGGGACGGAAAAGGGGAGAACCCAAAAAACATACAACAACCCGAGGGAAAACCCGAAAACGGCCATTAGACCGCAGTTGGGCAACCCTCGCCCCCATCTGCACTCCCCCTAAGGGGCTTCGCCCACACCAGAACGTCATCACTCGTACCTCGCTCTTTCCGTTACTGCTGGGCGAAAGTGGTTTAGGGCGTTTTCTTTTCCATCCTCCCTCTTCCCCTTCGGGGAGGGGTTTATCTTCTGTCTTTATTAACTTACACCATCTCACCCTACCTGGCGGGCGACAAACCAAGGACCATGTCAACCCTCCTTTCTCCATCATCATCATGAATCAATAATGAAACGTACATTTGGAGTCAAAATATAGATCGTGCGCGGACACCCCGCAATCTCTTCGCATTGGTTTCTGGCACGGACGGGGAGGGGGCAGCCTATTGCCTGCTGCGTGCATTGCCAACGCCCCCGTTGTCCCCTGCAGCCAAAAATGAGACGCCGCAGCGCACTGT